GGGGGGGGGCCGCAATACAATTTATTTGCATTTGTCAGGCCCAGTTTTGGAGACACTCTTAAATCTGCTGGAACCAACTGGCATTCGCCGCTTTGTGCTTGAATTACACAAAAAATATACTTTGAAAACTGAGCAGCACTGTCTCTTTCTACAAATCATAATCAAATAAATAGAGAAATTGTAGTTTTAAATTCACTTCATTTCAGTTAGATTTCAGAGATGATCTTCTGCTTTCAGTTTGGTTTTTGTTGACTCACACACGTCAACACCAAAGACTCAAACACCTGTGACAAATTTCACTGTTAAAGACTAAAATGAGAGACTTTTTAGTTTTGTAATCACTAAATATTGCTTAAATGATGTTAAATAAATGTTCTTTTTTTCTCGTTTTAGTCAGTAATAACGGCCGTGGCCAGTTTTACAGGACAGTAAGAACTACTTTCTTTCAGCTACAAGCTACACCCATGATGGGAAGCGTGCGTTTGTGATACTGTATAAACACCGACCTCTTCACCCCTCAGCTGAGCTCTGTTAACGAGCACCAGATGTAGAAAATAGCAGAAAGAAAATAGTTCCTGTGTGAAACGTTTTGCAGGGGCGTGATTTCTAGAAAGAGACAATTACAGCTCAGTTATTTCTGAGCACAACGAGGCAAATATGAAGTCAGTTTTTCAGGACAAGGCAGAGAACTTTTCAGCAGATATCTCCAAAACTGCGAAGCTCACACAAAACCAATCTAGATGGTCCTGCAAAGTGCAGTTTAGACTCCCAATAATGGTCAAAACTACTTGATAAGATGGGCCTTCTTTTCAGTGTTATTGTTAGCTCACCTATCTGATACAAAAACAAAAAATTAACTGTCTTCCTTTCCGTTAATGCAGCTACAACAAGCAATAAATATTCTATAAATAGAAGAGTGGTAAATGGTCACAAGATACCTAAAGTATAGGAAAGGTTAATAGTTTGCAAAGTGCACCAGATACTGCAACAACACAAAGCTCCCACATTAATATCATCCCAGGCTATGGCTAGCTAACTATACATCTCTCCTCCCTCCATTCCTCTTAATTCAACCAGTAGTTATTATAAACCACACATGCTGGAAATTTCTCCAGACTCGAAATATAACAAACTGGTTTTATTTATGTATTTATTTTTTGCTTGTAATTTTAAGTGCTTTTCCCCGCTTTACCTGATAGTTCAGAGTGGATCTTATGAGACGTGATGGAAAGGTAAAATGGTGCCATTTGCTCAGAACATAAAATTGTTGAAGACCTTCAGGGGGCATGAGGCCACTATAGTGTTGCCATGGGAACACCAAATGGTTATAAAAATGGTACCTGTCTTTTAATCACCGCAGCACTGTAACCTGTGGCAGATTGTAGGGTTCATAATAAAGGCAGGCAATCAGAAAGAGAACCACACTGGTCTGCAAATCAATGCCAGTCAGAGTGGAATCAATAGGTAGATATATAAGAGCCGGCAATCCAGTCTGCATCACGTTATGAAGAGGTGAACATGTGTTGTCCATGCTGCTTTAACGCACAGGACAACTTCACTGACCAATGTGTCCAGTTACAGAGAATATTTCCATAATCACTGAATAACAGAAACAGAGTTTCTGACGCTGTTAATTAAAAAAAGAATCCCTGCAAATTGTGACATTGTTTCCAGTTTGAAGCTTGTAGTGATCCACTGCAAACAGGCACTTAGGTGTCGTGTTACCACAGCTTGCTTCCTTCAACCCAGAGCCTTTTTCATATAAGTCAGCAATGAGAAGCATAAAAACAAACAATCATTGGTAGATGTGTTTTCAGCCTCACTTCCATTAACACCAGAAAAAGGCTTTGATAACAGTGTCTGGGTCCTCAGCTTCTGCGTAAACACACGAACACGTCAGACGTGCAACGCTGCCGGGACATGGAATATAAAGTGAGAAACTAAAGGTGTTAAACAAGCACTACTGTCAACTGTAGTTGCTGAGACAGACAAACAGCCGAACCTTTCCTTTGGAAAGCGAATCAGCTTTTATGAGGCGGAAAACGCCCCGCCCTCACTGCTCCTTGCACCCGCAGGTGGATGAGTGTGGCTGGTTGGGGCTGCGGCACGGCTTCCAGAGCAGCGGGGCGCTGAAAATGCCGATTATTCCGAGGTTGATGGCGAGGCTGATGGCGAGTGCCCCGATGGTCCCAAGAAAAGATGGCATCATTCCGTGGTTCAGGAGCCACGTCCTCCGCGATGTCATATCTGCGATCACACCCTCCATCTGGAAGTGGGACCCCACCACAGCGCTGACGTGGAAGAGCTGGTGGCTGTGGCCTTTGGGAAGGAAAGATGAAACAAAAACAGTCGAGTCAAGTCGCCGAACTGAATGGGCGAGTCCAACAGTAAAACTATGGCGTCGCTACTATCCAGAGCAGCTTTGAATTATTCACAGTTTAAAGTAATCCTCGTTTGCTTAGGCTGGGTTTTTGATGTGGTTTGAAGCTTCGTGTCTGTGAAGGTTCTCAGTCATCCAGGTCATCGTAGTCAAAGGAGCTTGCAAAGAAAAGCGTCTGGACTTCTTTAAGTTACTTGAAGACGTTTCACCTCTGAGAAGCTTCTTCAGTTCTAAGGTCAAATGGTGGAGAGTCCCAGATTTAAACTCTCCACCATTTGACCTTAGAACTGAAGAAGCTTCTCAGATGAGAGGTGAAACGTCTTCAAGTAACTTAAAGAAGTCCAGACGCTTTTCTTTGCAAGCTCCTTTGACGTTTGAACCTTTGACTAAACCATCTCGTGAGTCATAGGGTTACAGTCCTGTCAACAAAGCCATCATAAAGCTGTATGATACACTGTCCTAAGCCGGGAATGATAACACTCCACATATTAGAGAAAAGAAGAAGCAGGAGTAAGGCTATCCTCTGAGGACCGGGAGGCAATGTGCAATTTTCAATAGTCCTTAAATAACTCTGCTGTGAACATTGTTGAAATATTTGATACTTTATTTCACTCGTCATTGAGTCCTAAAGGGATGCACGCTCCAAGTGTTGGAGATGGTGTGGATCATCAGGAGCTTATGTTTTGGAGACGCTTAACACACAAAACACTGAATATATCATTTAAGACTTGTACACTATGAGATTGAGAGTTTGTACCTAAAACACTTTCGTGCCATGAAGCTGAGGAGAGATACAAAACTTCTTAGACTGCCAGTAAGAAAAAAAAAAAGTGTATAACCAGTAAATTCAGCACCACCCTCAGCTGATGGAGCTCTACAGGAAATATTTCTTTCAACAAAGGAATGATGGACTGGAATAACTGGAATTCTCTTTTTTGTATTCGAAAAGTTGGGAAAGACCCTTTTTTAATATCTAAGCACCATTTCCTAATAAACAAATCTTTAAAAATCTCCTCTTCTTTTCAAAGATTAACAAATGCAGCAGCTTTTTGTCCGCCTTCAGAGGCGTTTGAAACAATGACACTTGTGTGAAACCTCACCAGAGAAAACAAAACAATCCACCGAGCAAAGAAAGGTTTGCGCAGGTTTACACACCATCATTCCAAAGCCTGTTTGATATCGAGCCATTATTTAGCGTCAATTGTGCAGCAACCAGCAGGGAAAACATTCAAAAACAAGCAAAGACAATAGAAGGCAAATGTAAGCGTTGCAGTCCCACACGGAGGCCAAACTAAAGAACACGGTGCTTAGAGAATAACGCTGACCCTCCCAAAGGCCTTTCCCAAACTATTGTTCATAAACTTACATGTATTCATATCTTGGAGCGAACTCAATGAAAACAGAGGCTTCTGAAACTTCAAAAGCTTTTGTACGTGCACTTGAATTTGAATGCGACTCATTTGGTTATTTTTCTTCGTCTTTTAACTGGCATTAAGTTTCGAAAGTGTGTTCCAAGCTGTACTGAGCGCCACCAAAGGACGTACCGAAGTAGTCGAAGCACCCTGGGGCCAGTCTCTCCGGGAGGTGGGCGGTAAACAGAAAACAAGTGAGGAAGGCGAAGAGGAGGTGGTAACAGTGATTGGACAAGGCGCCGGTTGGACTGCAGCTTCCACCGCAGCACAGAAGAATCTAAACACAGGGGGAAAAAACCGATTCTATTATTGGATTAAACACAGATTAACACTGATTGTCGGAGCATTACTGACCCAGACAGAAAAGTGACTTGCATAATGCACAAACTAATGAGGAATAGTGTAGTGATTAGGGGAATTAACTGATGGCAAACATTTGTATTAGATAAACAAAGGAAATCAGATTCTGGGATAGTGAGCCAAAGTCCTATTACCGGTACATTATTAAAGAGTGGCACTTATCAGCGTTTATGTAATGACACAAACAAACAGACCAACACAAGCTGTGGCTTTTGAAAAAGATACTTGTTCAGAGTGGAAATTAAGGTCAAATTAAGTAAGAGAAGAATTCAATTATGCACGTGTATTATACGCCACTTTCTTCCTTTCAGATGTCGGAGCAAACTCTGTGAACTCAATTACTCAGCAGCTTGATATAGAGAAGAATCTACTGCCTCCAGATATATACAGAAACGACAAACACATCACACAGTCTGCAACTCCCACTCTGTGGTTTTCTTCCAATTTCCAGCTCCTTTGTAGTGTCAAAGAAATAAAATAAAACCTTCACGAGATGAAAAAGATGAGAATCTTCCAATATAACCCCCCCCCCTCTCTCTTTTTTTCACTGGTGCCAGGCCTAAAAATGAAACGGGAGGAAAGCACAGACCAGCAGAGCGAACAGGACCAGCCTTTCATATCGATCATTAATTAATAAAAGGAATCATCACCTTTGTGTATGTGCTATGGTATAACCGAGTACGAGTTGAGCTGATGAGTAAAAGAAGACTATATATTTGTTGATTTTATAAAACATCTGAACACAAAGGCTGTAGAAAGTCAGAAACAGTGAAAGTCTGTGAGCTGAGAGTGTGAGCACCATCACTTCACTTTTCGGTCTCCTTTAACGTGACTTACCCTGTAAACCAGAGGGACGGTGTCAAAAATAAATGGGACGACAAATGCTATGGTCCGAAGGGCTTTACTTCTCTTTGGGAACTGCAACTCCAGGAACCTGCGGAGGCCAGCAGAGGGCAGCGATCATTTCACTTTGTCATCTCCTCGCCTTTCAAAGTAGCGCGTGTCAGCCCAAGTTGTCGAGAAGCTAATGTAAGCAAGCTATGCAAGAGTAAGTCCCTCTGATCATATTACTCCTTGGCTTTGGTGCACCCTGCGTTCACGACACTGAAAGAATACAGAAAGCAAATACTGTTGCAGATTAGGATCAGGCCGTTTACATTTGACTTAAAAGACACCAAAGCGCTGAGGATGCAAAATGGGGGAGGGGCACTTGCTCAGTGTGACCCTTCTGAAGTTTGTCCTGATAAAGTTCAGGAGTTTTGGACACGGTTCACTAAAATATTTGTAGTATTTAACCAATGCAAACTCCATGCAGATGCAGTATTTGTCAGTATGAGAGGAAGACAACCTAAGTAAACTATTCTCATTATAGACTCTTCTCATAAGATGAAAGCCCAAGGGGGAGGCTCTCCCTTCAAGCACGCACTGTTGAGCTGGCAGGAGTACCAGCCTTAAAAGTCCTATAAACTATTCTGAATTCTAAATATTTGGCTTTTGCAGGTGGCTCCTTAGCTGGGCCGCAGGCATGGACGACTTCTCTTTTGCTTTGTTACTGTACACAGGATAGATCGCTGAATTTCCTGAAATACCTCTTTCTTTAAACATACCAGTACACTACACATGAAAAAAAAAAAAAGGAGTTAAGGCAAACTGTTGGTGCAAGGAAGGTGTAGAGGGCAAGCCTACGCTTGAAGCCACTGTGGTGTTCGCCATAGTCACAGTCCAATAACTCCAGCTGTACTTATCTTGTCCATTTAACAACTTTATTGGATTCCATCGTTTGTGTTTGTTGTTCAACAGTACTTAGTATCCAACGTCATTTTACATAAAATCACACAAACTGTTTGATCCTTCCGACCAACAACACCTGACGCTAAGTACATGTGTCTACCTTAAATACAGTCCCATAAACACACCAGGCTGTAAAAACACTAAAAGTGACCCTCAGCAGCACACATAAGGTAACAACACACACAAAAAAAATGGCTGCTACAGGAGGAGCAAACAATTATTTGGAAATCTATTGTTCCACAGAAGTGAGCTACATTCAGTCAAACTCTGACATCCAAGTTTTTAAACTCACAAGGCTTATTTACCTTGATTTGTGCACGACTGTAAGATGCAGGATGCTCAAAGTTGAATTTTCTAAGCAAGCCTGAGGACAGAGAGGATGTAAACATCAGCTTCTTACCTGGAATAGCAGGACAGGCTGGTACAGAACACCGTGTTTCCGATGGCAATGGGAACAAAATGCTGATGAAGCCAAGTGTTTACCCAACACTCTGGCATGACGTAGTATCCGTAGCTTATGGCACATCCTGATTTAAAACAGGAAATTAAAAATATTTATTACATCAACTGACCCGAGAGAAGCCTGAACAACTAACAGCTGATAAATAAACATATTTCATTCTGACTGCAGGACAATAATGGCAGACAAAGAATTTCAGCTACAGTAACTGACAGTGAAACTTTTATTTTAAATATGTTGTTATTAATCCTCAAAATACCTGCAACATTTCCCCCCAAAATTAAAGAATAGATTCAAAGCACACAAAAAAATTGAAAGCTGCAACTTAATGCTACAGTGTCTTAAAAAACAAACAAGGGGGGGGCACCAAAGAAAGAAAATTAGCATTTTACAAATAGTTTTTTTATTAATGAATATTACACTAGTGACTTCTACTTCAAATACTTTAAAAAAGATCAAAGCAGAAAGAGAAGCATGTCAGAGATCTTTGAAACTAAATGAGGCTGTTAACTAAAATCAAAGACTCTTATATGAAGCAGAAAAACAGTGCATAATATACGTGGGACTTGTAACCCAAATAAGTAGCTCTGATGTTTCTCTCTGGAGAAACGCCACAATCAAAGCTCTGCCTGGGACCACCGAGTGTGCGCTGTGTTCTTTTTGTCCTGTAGTGACACCGCCTGCTGATCTTATTCCTGAGATGGACTTGAGCATTTTAAACTGGGTAAATCTTGGCCCTAAGAAGCTTTGTGGTAGATTACTAGTGGGCCAGCCATGGGCCAACCCCCCCCCAAAAAAATAACAGGACTTCTAAGAGGGCCTCAGTTAATGTTTAACTGCTGGTTTGGGATTCTATATATGGTACAGAGATCATATATATAGACAGATAATCTGAAATGCATGTGCAGTATATCAATCAATATCAAGTTGTCTTCTTGTACTAGTGTATCTTGAAAAATAGATGTGTTTTTTTTCATAAATTATTTTTTAAGTTAATTTGAATATACTATATATTTATTAAAAATAAGGTGAAATATTTGATGCTTTTGAGTTTTAATTTTTATGTAAATGGATCGTTTCTCATTATCTTAGATTCATATAAAATTTCCAAAGACCAATGAAAATGTTAAACTTCTGAAAATGACGTTCATTTATACTCTCAAACGCCTGATACATTTACAACTAATGCATGAAGAACACAATATTATATTTTTTTGATCTGCTCTAGTATGTGCTCACCCTCAAATATGCAGGCAGGTGGTGGGGAAAGAGTTTGCAAATGAACAGCTGCGCAACAAGCAAACCTTCCTTAAAAAACAGGTATGTTCAGTTCCCTCTTTGTGGAAGTTCCTTGTAAAAGCAGGTGCATGCGGGAGGGAAATACTATTCATAGGAGAGCTGGTTATGAAATCAAGCAAATACTGGAGCCATAAAACCCGATCCATCTTTCAGGACGGTGGCAGAAAGGAGAGTAACATTGTTTCCGTGTGCTTTGAGTGCGAGGCATGTCTGATTTCCATATAATCGCAAAGGCTAACACAAGCAAAAATGCTTTGAATATTACTGTGGAACGGAACTTACCATGCAAACAGTTCAGAGGAGAAAGAAAGCAACGTTTCATCTCTTAGTATGGGATGCATGCACTATTATGGATAGACCTTAATAACGGAGCAGTCATCCTTAATGAGATGCATGATGGTTGATCAGCCTGTTAAATGTGTTTCATAAAACAGAACCACCTCAAACTGTTTGACTTTACTGTGGTTTGGAGTGTTTCAAGCACCTCGGCCTTTACCCGTTAAATCTAAATTATTCTGTGTGTTATATTTTAAACTGTTTTCTTAAGGTGGAATCTACAACCATTTATTTATTTACCAGGAGATGGAGAGACTGAGGAGACGGTCTATAAACAAACCTCTTTCCTTCACGTAGTTCAAAGATGGAAAAGATAAAGAGATGAAATTCTGAGCATTACGTTGTTTTCTCCGTTGATATTTGGTTACCTAGTAACGCTATCACGCGCTAAAGAAACAAAATACACCCCCAGACATTAAACACTGCTGTGGCATCAGGACTTTTGCATTCAACCCCCCCGTGCACAAAGATTTACTACCTACAACCAGCCTGGATAGAGCTCACCTCCAAATCCTCATCCTGCTGCTTCTTCTCTGCTCAGAAAGAAGACTTTGTCTCGGGTGGCATGACCCATGAAGTAACGTAGCTTTAGCTTACTGTAACTCAGACAACTCAAACTGAGACAGGATGACACAAAACCATGTGACACATTAATCTAAAGTGAAATCTCATGATATTTCTTGCTGCGTGTAGCTGCTCCCTAAGCTGAAAAAGAACTCATGAAGACCATAGCTCGCTATAGCAAGTATCTGGTATCAATTCTAGGTGACTTCCTTGATGAGTTATTACAGTCACAAGATTTTCAGAAAACTTGACCTCTGACCAAACTTCTTCTGTTCACAAAGGTGAGTGTCCACACTGACCACCCGCCTCCCACCCAAGCAGGATGATGACAATACCCCATCAACTTTTCACAGCTGAGGGGTAAAAAGGATGCGACAGCTCAGAACGTCTCCCAGAAACAAACAAACAAAAAAATCGGGACAAAATAAATCTTCTTATAATCCACAACTACTTCAAAGTTAACATTTTCATTCTGCTTTTTACTTATTTTATATATACACATTTTTGTTGTCTTCTCTAGTGTTGTTTTTTACCTTGGCCATCTGTTTTTATCTAACAAAGGCAGACGGGGAGGTAACAGAGCTGAACTGATGTCTGTATAAGAAGCAAAGCCAATATCACAGAGTGATGACACTGTAGTGTTAGACTTCACATCCCTGATTCTGCAGTGCTGGCGTGCTTCTTAAAAATGACACACTGTGTCCCCTTGGGACTGTTCAGGGAAACAATCAAAATAGAGTGTCATAAAGAGTGATCTCAGAGGAGTGTGAAAAGAGCTACAGACTCCTCTTTATGATTTCAAGATCGTCCTGTTTCTTGGTAATGTACAATAACATCAAAAATGCTTTTAGGACTCCACCACCAGGGGTTTCTTTACCTAAGCTGTAGAGGCTGAGAGCTCCGTAGTCAAAGAAGTAGCAGATGTGGCGGGACTCTGCGGACATGGTGCTGAAGGTGTGTGCACAACTGGACGTGAAGGGGTAAACGCAGATGAGCATCATGTACACCAGCAGCGGCCAGGTGTAGCTGTCAGTCAGGAAGTTCAGGGTAGAGCAGAGAACGCAGAAACGCCACAGAAAGTACCTACAAGAATTTATTAACAAATTAAAAATGTATATATACAAAAATGTGACCCCATACAGGTACATGTAACTGATGCTACCGTGTAATATGTTGGCACATGCATCTGTTTCCAGGTTGTAGATTTACTACAGAGAAGTACTCTGTGACTGTGTTTCTTAATTAGCAATGTCACTGCTTCTCTCTGACATCCTGTGAGCTTCAAAGCTCTCTGACTTCACGTGTATTTTGATTCAGACTTAGTGAATTTTCCAGATGTAGCCTCCACATTTCCCCACCTGTCTGTTTTTCTCTCCAGCACTATGAGAATTTTCAAGATTAAATCTCTGACTTTCAGTGATCCTTAGAAACTCTGTCGTGTTTACACAGCTGGAACGCTGACAAATGTTCACTTTACCGCTTGCTTTGATCATGAATATAACTAGACTTGTTCAAGTCTGGTGTGAATGAGAGGACACCAAACAAAACTCACCATGTTGGGAGGAAGTGGGTCCAGATGTTGATCGTCTCGTTGTTCATTTGGAAGCTGCTGAGGATACAGTCCAGTGCTGAGCTCCTTGGGTGACGGTATCCAGAGATGATGCCGTCCTCCCTGAACACCTGCGGAGCAAGCAGACAATCCAGGTGACAGGTGTGAAATTCAGCCAATCCTCGAAAAGGAAAAGCTGATCATCAAACTTCATCAGTAAGCAGAGAGTTTGCAGAACCACTGTATCGTTTAGTTACACTACAGTCCTAATGATGCTTGGTTTCTGAGGCCAATATCAGTATTTCAATTAAATAAATGTTCATTTTCACTTTCCTCTAAACATAAAACCTTATTAGATCCTTTTGATAGTCATCATTAAAATGCCGATATTTTTATATTTTCATCGATCTGTTGTGGAAGAAACGTTCAAAAAAAAAAAAAAAAAAAAAAAAAGATCATTTCCACAAAAGCCAAGTTTGCACCAAAAACTACAGAAAAAAGTTACAAATATGTAGCAGAACTTTACTAGTGGTAATTATTTTTTATCTAGCCCCTTAAAGTGTCTGTATATAGTTCTACAACTGTTTTCACTACAGTATGTAGTGAAAACTTGTTTCTTTATGGTAAAACATCCATGACCGGATCCATCTGGATGTTGCAAGAGGAAAAGATGTTAAGACAAACAAAGATGACAACTATGTAAATATTTAGCAGGAGGGCTCTAATATCACTGCCAGTTCACACAGATTACAGTACAGCACAGACTACAGTGAGTTGAAGGGAAAGTTCAGGTCGATGGTAACACGTTAGATGTTATGATTAGGTTTTTGAGATCTACTTTATTCATCACACCCAGCGAACTTTATATTAAAGGCTGTCGTTTTTTACAGGTATTACCGGACTGTACCCAACTCAAAAAATAAAGTAGAACAATATAACTGGAGTATATGTTGCTGATCCCAGCAACAGTTTTTAATGTTTTCAGATGTGAAAAAAAAACTTTTTAAACTCCAATAACAAAACCAGGGGCCTAATTTTAGTCTACACACTGAACTCATGGCTGGAAACCATGCTGCAGAACTGCTGCATGCAAACTATTTGTCACTTATGAGATAAGGTCACTACAGAAGGGAGGACGGCAGCCAAAGCAGATGCTTGAACTGCAGGGCTCTGGCTCCTGCTGACAGGCTTACAGCCACAATCAGCTACCACAATTTTTTTCTGCTGAAGTGTGAAGATTAACCCTCATATGGCAGAACCATTGTGTGCAAATACACTATGGCTCAGTTTCTGAGACATGGATTAAGCCTAATCTTAAACTAAACTTCTTTCAGTTGAGATTTCTTTACTTTATGTCTATGACTGGGCTTAATGCACGTCTGTGAAACTGGCTGTATGTCTGCAAGGCTGCAAGGTGCAGTGGGTCAGGGTTCGGAGGTAATCACATGATGAAATCCTGGTCGTGGAAGCAAATAAAAGCCTTGAAGTAAAAATACAAACACGGAGGTATAAAAATAATATTATGCAATTTATCATTAAGGTTAAGTGAGACAAAATCCTAAATGTCTGTGGATTTACCACACAGTTTAGACTGTGTAGCACACTGTGGTCCTTTTTTAAATGTGTGGTGAAAATATTGCAATTAGGAGCTTTCAAAAGTTTTAAAACCAGTTACAACTAACTAAAACAAACCAATCTAATTATTTTATCAAATTAATACATTTTCTCGCCCTCCTTTCAGAAAAAAGCAACTATATTTAAAGCATATTACTCTCTGCTGTGCCTGTGCATTGATTAAATGATGCAACCTGATGAAACAATAATTATCATACTACAAGAACAGCAAAAAAATAAGAAAAAAAAAACAGGTTGCAAACTCATCTGTAGCGCATCATAGGCTCATTTACATGGAACAAACTGAAAGACTACACAGCATAAAAATATCTCTTGGCATCGCTATTGTTTGAGGCTCGAGTCATTCGTCAGGCCGGGTCATATCCTGACAGACAAACCTGAGCGTTTCCTGGTGTTACATAAGACAGTAAGAAAAAATAAACATGCATTACATAAACAGAAGAACGGATGCTTGGCTTTATAGACACGACTATTGACAAAATCATTTCTCTGAAGACTTCTACAAATAACTGATGTCCATAATAATAATAATAATAATAATAATAAAGCACTGCAGCTTCTCTGCAATTAACCTTCTGAAATGCTGTGTAATGCCACAAATGCTTTAAACTTGAGTGGAGGGCTGATTATTCGCCTCATATGTATTTACATTCACCTCTTAGTCCTTAAGAGTTTAAGAATACCTTCATCTAAGGAACAGAACCAACCCACCACCTTTTCCCATCAGTTATACGGTCCTAACAGACTGGACCTGGGTACACCAGGTTACTTTCTTACCTTGGGGACTTGGTGGATGTCAAAGAGCTGAGGAAGTTTGAAGCTAAGCATGTCTGCGGGAAGCCTGATGGCACCCCTCCCTCTTTGACAAACTTCCCTGAGCCTGGCTCGCCCCCCACGGCAGAGGACGAGCCACACGGGGTAGTCAAACACCGGTATTCTTGCCGCTAGGTCTGTTCTGTTCGGGTCCCATTTCAAGCAGCGCGCCCAGCCCTGGCTCCACCCAATGCCACTACTGGCCCCAATCCCACGCCACACAGGAAACACTGCAGGGACACAAAGACATGCACACAATCAGACACCAAGATAAGACCAAAACCTTGACTTCCTCACACTGGCTCCACATAAAAAAAAGAGAATTTTTTTATGATTATCCATACAGTTTTGGTTACTATCAGTCAACAGTGATGTTTGGTAATACACCTGTGCATTATTAAGTGTCAGAGACTTTATTGTTAACATATTTATACATGACTTATGAAGTGATGATCAGATTTGCTGGTTGCTTGGTGTTACTCTGATTGCATGCAAAACCTGTAATTTAAAACTAATTAAAATGCACAGTATTAACTGATAAAAGACAGCTTTCACCCCCCAAAAAAATAAATAAAATCATGCGCTTCTTTCAGCATCATCAATGCATCATCAAGTTTTTTTTATTTTTATTTTCAGAAAATAAATTCCAGTAAAAGGTTGAAGACAGAAAGTGGCTAACAGCTATTGTGAATTGTAATTTAGGGCACTGAAGGAAATGATGATGTGCTCATCATTAAATCTGACCACCTGCTTTGTTTTGGTCATCACTTTGATCCACTGAAATCCACTCGCACAAATGCACCACACCGGATAACTGGTTCATCTGATGGCCTCCACCGTTAAAGTTTATATGACAGAGTCCTCGAGTGTGACATCTCTGTGGACTGGAGCAGACGCTGAGAACAATCGCGTATTGTCGTCGCTCTTGAGACCTACCCAGACATTGATTTAAAGAATGCCCGGCATTGTCACGCTGCAGAGGCCTGTGACCAAATGCAAAAATGTAATAAGAACATGTTTGTGTGAGCCACAGCCTTGCTGACCACTGCCCACTGGCTCACAATGGGAGTGTGAGCATTGCAACTGGATCATGTGGCAGTGGAAGAGGGCAGCCTAGTCTGAATTAGACTGATTTTCTTTAACAATTTGTGGACAGATAGCAGCATTATTTACCTTTGGAAGTAATGGCAGCAAGATAGGAAGGCCAGGAGGGTCAGCTGGAGCCTACCGATGCTCATGACTGTTAAATACCCACTGCATTGTATCTAACAACATCTAACCATTTCCTTCTCCAAAAATGTATCTTTTGCCTTGTTTTTACCCGTGTCTGGTAATATGTATTGCACTAACACCTTCTGAAAGTTGAAGTAATGCACCTGAAAGAAGAACACGTTTAACTGCCAAACACAGGAGTGATAAAACCTGTGTAGCCTGGTGAGGTTTGATGCTACGGTTCAAACAGGTTAACCTGTTAGCAGTCGGACGTACCGCCCACGGTACATTGGATGGTTTAGGGGACTAATTGTAAATTTGTAGGACTGCTAAGGGGTTAAACGTGCACAGCAAAGACTATTGTGACTGAAACAGAAGTTCTGACAAACGGAAAAGCTAGCACCTTACAAGTCTATGCCACTATGCACAGACTCCATAGTATTAGGCTCGAATTGAATTCGTTTAGGGCATTTCTGGCCTCAGTTACCAGGACAAAATGTCCTACCATACTCCAAATTTTTTAAGTAGTTTGGAGAACATGAAAAAGAGTTCAAGGTGTCCAAATTCCCCAGATCTCAGTCCAGTTGAGCATCATCCCCTCTGGCAGGGTGAGAGCAACAAGAAGGGGCCGCTGCTTACTGCACCCCAGCTGCAGGCCCCGGCCTATTAACAGTGACAAAGTGCGCTTTGTGGAGGCTAAAGCCTTGAGAGTACAGGGACCAAAGGATGACTGTTACACGCTGCACTGGATGGAAATGAGGCATCTCACAAACACACACACACACACACACACACATACATACAACAGAGTCCCACCATTGCTCAAGTGCTCGGTGCACTAGCATGCAAGCACGCTGGCACAAATCCTGCATTCACTATGGCTGGAAAGCATAGCTGCACACAAACAACTTATAATACCACAGAGCTTGAGTTAATAATAAAAGCTACTGACAGCCACAAGGTTCACACCTAGAAAAAAAAAAGCTCATTTAGATTCAGATCATTGGCAGTGTGCCACCAATCATTTAGTGCGAGATGTAGGTGTGTTTTTGTTGGAAGGTGTGTGAATGCTGCGAATGTTAATTCTTTGTACTCAGCTTCGGGGACCAAAACAAGTGGAAGATATATGTTTTTATATTGAATTCTAGACAGATCAGTCAATGTTTAAATGTGAAATGAAATATGAAGCCAACAGGGAAGTGCCAAAAGTGCAGTTTCTTTCCTTCTTCTTGGGACTCTCATGTTAAAGTTTAACAAAGTTAAAAAGTATATTTACAGCTTGGTACACAAAACAGTTTTGGCCTCTGTGGATAATTTCCTCCTTCCCAACAAATTTATGGGTTGGGAATTTTTCACACTGATTATACGTTCTGCATCCATAAGTCCACTACGGTCTGATTGATGCAAATTTCATCATAGAGTGTGAGTCCAAAGGTTCGTGCTGTTGTTCGCATGGATGGCGATTTTTTTGTGAGTGTATGGACTCGTCTGCAGAGACTTTGCACTACAACACATCAGCGGCACTTATGCAGAGGGAAGAAGACTTCAGAGAAATAGAACAAGAATAGAACAACAGAACTTGGCCGTCACATCTCCAGGTGTCTGTGTCTTTATCCACAGCAGAGTATAAGGCTTCCAGCCTGCATTTGTGCCTTTTGGAAGCATTTCTCATGGAGTTATGTGACAGGATATCTACCGTAAATTATCCTGCTCCATGGTGGAGACCTTAAAAGAAGATTGTGCTTTAGTTTAAAGTACTCGAGTTTCACTCTCCTGTTCATCTGTTACTTGGGGCTGGGCGGTACGGTGGTGCGATGGTTAGCACCAGCTAGAAGGTCCTGGGTTTGAATCCAGACTGCGTCTGTCTGTCTCTCGCCTTTGCGAGATGCACATGCAAATGTACAAATACTGCAATACTTTTGTCAGTGGGACACAGGCTCAGTCACCTCCATGTTAGACACTGACTTAATGCATTTAGAAGAACATTTCTGAGATAACCATTTTAGGAAACAGAAAGCTTGAATGGGTTCCCAGTTCACCTTCAGTGCAGGCTCAAAGAAAAGCATCAAACATCAAACACAAGAGGCAACATCCACCTGTAGCCTGAAGCTCAGGACCAGAGCCAAATCAGCACAACATGCTGAGCATTCAATAAACAAACAGCGCCTGAAAAAGCTGATAAGCAGTCAAATGAGGGAGTGCCACCTTTTTCTTTTTTTCTACACAGTTTTGGATTAGAGGATGTAACCAAACAAGTGGAAAAGTAATCTAGTAATGAATGTGCCAAAGACACTACAGCACCATGACAGGCTCAAAACTCGAGCCTCATCTTCACCCCACCCTTCTTCCTGAGGCCGTGCTCCCTTGACAGATTAACTGAGCCATTCGGGAAGCCC